AAATGTTTATTCGATCTACGCAGAAATTAATTGAAGTAATAACTTAATATAAAAGGACCTCTATTTTTATCATGACAAACTCTCCAACTTATAATAAAGGATTAAAGAGTCTCATTTCTTTACTTGTTTATTACTATCTTTTAATTTTACCCTTTTATACTCAAATTATCACACTTCAGTTAGTCTTTACTTCACTTTAAATTGTCTTTAAGTTCCATCTTGAATTATATTTCTAGTTATTGAACATAATAAGATATTAATTATACTTTCCCACATAAATCATCAAACTAAAGATTCAGTTGTATATTACTACTACTTTGAATTCTGCATTGACTACTTTCACAGTCTGGTGCTCACCGTAAAAACATTTGTTATTCTTCATTTTTCTCTTTATTTCAAATTTTATACTAAGCACCTTATAACAACATATGCAAAAGATGCGCCTAATATTTCTGCCCATTTTGGGTATGTTGTATTTGGGTACGATTCACTTAAGAATAATTAAGCAAATCTTTTAAATAAATAAACTATGAAATTAAAACAATCATTGATGTTGCATATCAGCATACGCCTGTATACTGCTATACAACTTCTCCTACTTCGAGTACATACTTCTATATAAAAGATTGCATGATTGGCCTAAATACGATATACGAATGACAGTTGGATACAGAATGCTATACCACTGAGTTACGATATCACCGATCGAGAAGAGAAACTTCTTAGATCAATCAAGAATTATAAGAAAGAGAAACTTAATATTAATAGTTCTCTCAATGGATTAGCTACCCAGAGAGAGAATAGAACAGCTGTTGATATAAATGGTTCATTTACTTATATATTGATATAATTATACTGCTGATAAAGAGTATAAAGAAATAGTGTATGAATTAATGGATACCTAGCTTCTACAACCAAATATACAAATAACGATAAAACATTTTATATTTGGGATCGTATTTTATTTATTACAATGATAATGAATAAATGATCAATTATTATGTTCTATTGTCAATTACACTTGACAAACAAGTAACCGCTGCATGATCTGATAAATAAGTGTCTCGTAATACTAAAGATTTATTAGAATACTCATGCTTCCGATCCACTGATATGGGACAACGTTAACTGGAAAGAATTCTAACGAGTAGTATTCATTTAACCCAAGGCGGGAAACAAAGTATAGATCTATTCCAAAACCAGAAAGGTTGACTCATCATTAAAACTCAGGAGAGTTGTGAAATATAAAAAGGATCAATTATTTCATAGCAGGAGAGTTCTTTTAGTCTTTTTTTACCTCCAATAAAAATATATTTTTATCTCATTACTTTTCAATTGTATCAGTTTTTTCAAATACCACAGTGCTCTTCAATGGTTTGGTATTTCTGTGGTATTTGACAAAATTGATACAATTGAAAATTAATGAGATAAAAGTATATCTTTTATTGGAGGTTAAAAATAGACTAAAAGAACTCTGCTGCTATGAAATAATTGATCCTTTTTATATTTCACAACTCTCCTGAGTTTTAATGATGAGTCAACATTTCTGGTTTTGGAATAGATCTATACTTTGTTTCCCGCCTTGGGTTAAATGAATACTACTCGTTAGAATTCTTTCCAGTTAACGTTGTCCCATATCAGTGGATCGGAAGCATGAGTATTCTAATAAATCTTTAGTGTTACGAGACACCTATTTATCAGATCATGCAACGGTTACTGTAAAAGTTACATACTTGTTTGTCAAGTGTAATTGTCAGTAGAACATAATAGTTATAGTTGATCATTTATTCGCTATCTTTGTAATGAATAAAATACAATCCCAAATATATAATGTTTTAATGAGATTTGTATATTTGATTGTAGAAAGTAGGTATTCATTAATTCACACACTACTTCTTCATACTCTTTATCAGCAGTATAACTGTATCAATATATAGGTAAATGAACCATTTATATTAATAGCTGTTCTATTCTCTCTCAGGGTAGCTAATCCATTAAGAGAACTATTTATATTATGTTTCTCTATCGGTGATATCGTAACTTAGTGGTATAGTATTATATATGCAAATGTCATTCGTATATCATATTTGGGCCAATCATGCAATCTTTATTAATATAGAAGTATGTGCTCATAGTAGGAGAAGTTGTATAGCAGTATACAAGCGTATGCTGTTAAGCAACATCAAAGGTTGTTTTAATTTAATAGTTTATTTATTTAAACGACTTGCTTAATTATTCTTAAGTGAATCGTACCCAAATACGACAAACTTGACAAGTCTCACAGACCAAGAACACTTCAAAGGTAGTATTATCCCAGTTGTGAAGAGATTGCTGGTCAATATTGGTGTTCATATTCTTAATCCTGCTGACATTAAAAAAAATCGTTTGAAAAAGAGCAATTAAGAAAATTTCGTATACCTGTGATGTATAACATCAAAAGATTAATCGTTCCTTTTTTTTTTTTTTTTCTCAGTAGCTGAATTCACAAGACTACTCACGGGTTGAGAAAAAGATTGCACACGGTTTTTTCTTTGATGAAGCAATCAACCATCAAGTTCTCATGGTAACCACACTAAAAAGCAATCGATCAAGGATAAGCCTAGTGACAGCCATGGATTATAGAGAAAAATAATACTCAAATATAAACAATGTTCGATTGTTTGCTGTTGAGGTTTCAAAAAAAGGAAACCCGACTCGACTGTTTTTGATGTAACTGATACAATAATCAAAAACGTAAAGAACAAGAAGACTTTGAAGACCCTATTATTCTCTCTTAATTATCAGACTGATACTGTAGAAAAAAAAAAAAAAAAAAAAAAAAAAAAAAAAAAAAAAAAAAAAAAAAGCATGATTTACAAAGGACATGGCAGACGATCTAAAGAAAACGACACACTCTTTTGCCTAAGTAATTATACATACAAACTCTGTATTCGGTGATGAATACATGTGTCAAATAAAATGAACTTCCAACCTGGTCAAGTATGATTTTTGCTTTTTTTGTGCTACATAAATTGGCTTACACCGGATAGTTTTCACTATTAACATCCTTGTAGCTACTTTGTAGCGTGTAATTTATCATTCTCATATCCTACTTTACCACCAAATACCCGTGTATGTTTTCCATTTCCTCCATCCACAAAATTAAGAGCGATCCATTTTTATTGTTCTTACATCACGGTAAATTAATACAGAATCCATCGGTCATAATCACCAAGTGATCTTTAAAGAGATAAATAAACTTCCAGATAGCATGATAAAACAAACATGTGTCGTTTTCTACGAGTGTATATATATAAAAGTCCAATCTTCTACTTCAGCCGTACGTATGCTTTAGTAATAAATTGATGTATGGATAGATTTCATATTATAGGGTTTACATCCAGGATTGAGACGAATCTTTGATTAAGACGGCTTCATAAAAGAATAAGTATTACAACCACATTTAACACAAATTATAACTCACCTCAAATGATTTACATCTTGACAACCTACTCGTGTGTATGTGCCTGTTGATCACACATAATTCAAGTATAAGATGTGTCATGGAAGTGCTATGACCAAAAGTTTTCCAGGAGCTTCCTCCAGATTGAACTCTTTCAAATGTTTCTTTGCTTTAATTATGTTATTATTGTGTAGCTGTTCATCCAGTGTCGATATATCCTTTAAGCGCTACCCATCATGCGTAGTGGGGTGGATAAAAACAAAGGAGAGGGAAAGATTACGTCGATTTAACACATAATAATTGATGAACGTCGTTCTCCACGGGAATGGAAAAGGTATTGGTGCGTTTTATTTCCCTTGTTGGTCTTGCCTTTTGTTGAATTTACGCTTGTTGAATGTCTTCTAGGTGAATGACTAGAAATGAGCACATAGAATTTTCTCCAAATACTAAAAAGGTGGAATATACCACCTGCGGTGTGGGTGTAGCGTATTTATCGGCCACAGCATAAGGAGACCTGGGCTACAAATTCAACGCCTATTTTTGCATAAAAATAAAAACGGGAGTTTTTTTTTTTCTGACTGTTTTTTTGTTTTTTATTTTTATTCTTCAAAGGCTCCTTTCTCATTGCCTGCATTATGGTCTATGAAGAATGTTAAAAGGATTGGGTGATCCTCCGTTCTATATGGCCATCAATGCCAAGTTTTTGTGAACTCTTTTAACGTCAAGCAACTCTCAATTCCTTCTATATGCATTGATAAGGAAAGTTCTCAAGATTTAAACAGAATATTACAGCAATCTGAAACTAGTGTGGAGCATGAAGCTGATCAAGCAAGAATTGTCGTAGAGGCTGGTCTTCGAAGTACTTCCGATTACGCTAATTCTTCCGCTGGTGAATCAAATTATACAAATACATTGTGTCTTGAGACTATTGGTGGAGGCACCAATGAAAGCCTCGAGCAAAACATAGAACATTAGGGACAGGAGGACAATGTTAGTTTGGAAAAAATGGCATATGCAAGTCGCGTTTTGAAAGATATTTTCCGTATAAATGGGTATCATTCCTATCAGTCGTAAGCAAGGTGCTTTTACGGTGTTCTGTCAACAATTCGATAAGGGACATATTTGTTTCTGGCTCTTTTGAGACAAAGCCAATGTGGAAAGAGTCTTGGGCTTTTTTAGGAAAAAACCAAAAAAGTACCGGGATGACACTTGGATCTTGTCTCGTACTTACCGTGTAGTACTGGCTCCTGAGATGCTGCATCCAGTTGTCAAGAAACTGTTTTGTGATTTCCATGATATCAAATGTTCAAGAACAGCTCTTCCTTTATGATCAATGTGACAAGAAATTAACAAGCTGTCAACGTTTTGAGGCCGATTCGACTTGACCATATATCTGATGTAAACGACATTAACATGTATCATAAGGGCTTCTATGGATAAAAATAGATTCCAGATATACAGATGTGTCAGAGGGACCAATGAGTGATTGAAGGCGGTGCTCACAACAACATCAGAAGAAAATTTGGATTCATGAATTGCTCTGTTGAATTCGTAAATTATGCGCTTTGTGATTATCGATTGCGTCATAACGGCAGCAAAAACAAATTTAACACTGATTACAAAAGTCATTACAGTCCTGGGTGAACTCAAGTCTCTCTTGGAATGGAAGATCGAGGATCATACCACGATCCTAATCGCGATTACATCAACTTGTGTGGAAATCCTGCAAATGAAGAATTTGGTAGTTATTTCATTATCCGATAGCTTCATGCAGGAGTACTCAATGATACCAAACAATAATAGCGCCATAAAGGAAAGGTCTACAAGTTATGAAGACATATCCAGACTTTGTGTTCCTGCAGCTCGTGCCTCAAAGTCACCATTGTCCTCTAATGACTTCATTGCCAAATGTCAAGGCACATCACTCCCTATTTTGCCAGTACACACTGATGAAGAAAAAGAATTATATCTTCATTTAATGAAAACTCATCCCCAATTCACTCAAGGCAACTTCCCAGATTTCAACATCATGAGCAGAATGTTTTCCCAAAAAAATAAAAAAATAAAACTCTACTACAATACTAGTTCACATATTAGGGCATACTTTAATCTTAAACATGACAGCTTAAAGTTCAAAGCAACCTGCAACATCAATCCATTAAAGATTTTGGAAGTGACGAAGGATCCTCATCCCAACAACAGGGGAGTGGTAGCCGTAGTCAAATCTAAAGATTATTTTTTTACAGAAGTCAGTGATTAATTTAATAAATAAAGTTGTTTTTATTGAACTTGCACGTATAAAGATATCGCTTATAATACCCTAAAATGAATAGCATTACAAAATTCATGTCTGTCTAAGATTTTGTTATGTAAAGTGAATAAGCATATACCTAACAGTTGTTGCAGTCAATAATAATATGGCTTGCTGATACAACAGGATAGGATCTTGCCTATAAATACTCTTCATTTGAATAAGTATTCTTTATTTTCATTTTTACCTAAAATTGGGATTTATCTTGAGTAATGGATAGTAAGTAGTTTTTCTTTTTTACTGTTGGTTGGATTCTATGATTATACAACAATCACTTCATCCGCTTACCGAAACCTGTGGTTAAACTCTTTACTCTTCCTCATCGAAGAACTATATTTTCTTCTCATCTTTCACTGTATTGCTATTGATTTACATAAAATTGTTATATGCATATATTATATCCTCCAAGATGACTTTAGAAATACTTTTTAATAAATAATACTACTCGTGTCATATAAAAGAAGATAAATAGGAACGTGTGGGTTTCATTCATGTCTCGTAAAAAAAAATGATAAATAAGGGATAGTTATTATATCATGATGAAATATATGAATTACTCCGCAATGTAAAATTAATCAGTGGTATAAAAGCCAAATCCTCGGAATACCTGTAAAACTGTTGATTTTGAGCGATTGAAGCAATCGATAATCCCATTTTTTTTTTTTTGGGGGGATGAACCTACAAAAGAATGGGGTGGGTAGGAGGACATACTTTAGGTAGTCATAGAAGACAACAGAAGAACTTGATTTAGGTGGATGTGTATCATCCTCTATTGAAATTTTTTAACCTTTACCATTGCATGCATGAGTATTCACGTTTATAGTGTGTTCGGTCATTAAACCTTATCTTCTAAGATATCGCCGGTAATGTATAGGACCACATTCATTCCTGCCTCCCCCCCCCACGGAACTCGCTGTCAATGATGACATAGTCACATGGTTGTTGTAGTTTTTTGAATGATGTATAAATTACGGTGGTTTTGATACCAAGTTCAAGTTGTGATAATGAAGAGTAAATTCCTGTAATGCGAGTTTTTTTTTTTTTCTATTTACGTGAAAAGCATAAAAAACTTAAAGTGCCGCCTAACAGGGAATGAAACTCAGGGGGGGGGGACCGTAAGGGAAACCCGGGCGTGGTGATTCCTAAAAGTTGAAATCAGGACTATCTTTACTATAGACAACATGGTGCAAGATAATGTAAAGTTATATTTTGGTAAATGACGATAGGATATGAAACAAGATTCAGGGTCCTTCTATGTTTGTGTGTTTGCCAAATGGGATTGGGGGGGGGGGATAATCTACGATCACCATCTCATGACTGGTTTTTAAAAAACACCTTTTATTTTTGGGTGTGTGTGTGATATGTATGTGTGCGGGGAACGAAGAGAGATGTTGGCCATCTTTTTTTATTATTTATAAATTGGGTGCCCTTAAATTATCTTTTTCTTCCCTTTCTTCTTTTTTTTTGAAAAATAAAAAAACCCCTTCTCCAAATTCAAATGTCTGAACCCGTCCAAAAACGTAAAGTGCGTACGCTGGGGAAATAAACAAGGAATCGATGTGACTAATTCATTTTATAGCTCTTCCCTTTGGTTTCCAATTTTTGGCTGGTGCCATTGCCGGTGTATCCGAAATCTTGGTCATGTATCCTTTGGATGGTAAGGAAGAGATGATGTGTGTGTTTTTTTTGTACGTGTTTCTAAACACGAATTTTTTTTATTTTTTTTTTTATTTTCAGTTGTCAAGACCAGAGCTCAATTAAGTACAGGTGCTAGCACCGGTATCGCCGAGACCATCAAGAACATGATCAAGAACGAAGGGTAAAAAAAAATAAAAAATAAAAAAAATAAAAAAATTATAAACTCCCACCAATAAACTAAATATGGGGAGTGACTCATTATGATAGTGCTGCTTCTCTTTACCGTGGTATTGCTGCTCCCATCATGGTAGAAGCACCCAAGCGTGCTACCAAGTTTGCTGCCAACGAACAATATACCACCCTTTACAAAAAGCTCTTTGGATTTGAAAAGGTCACTCAATCCTTGTCTGTCATGACCGGTGTCAGTGCTGGTATCACTGAAGCCTTCTTGATCGTCCCTTTTGAACTCGTCAAGGTCAGAATGCAAGACAGAGCCAACGTAAGTCATAAATTCAGGGGATTTTTTTTTTTTTTATATTATGGGGAAAAAGCTAACAGGATGTGCTAGTTGGGCAAGTACAATGGTACTACCGATACTTTCAGAAAGATTATCGCTGCTGAAGGTACACTTGCCTTGTTCAATGGTTTGGAAGCTACCATGTGGCGTCATGGTGTTTGGAACGGTGCTTACTTTGGTTTGATTTACAAGGTCAAGGACTTGTTACCCAAGTCCAAGGTAAAAAAAAAGGGGGGGGGGCTACATGTGTGTGTGTTAATAAGAAAGACTAACGCGATATGAAAGGATGCTGGTGAGCAACGTATGATTAATTTTGCTGCTGGTACTTGTGGTGGTATTGTGGCTACTGCTTGTAACACACCCTTTGATGTGGTAAAGACCCGTGTTCAAAGTTATAACGGTGTTGGTATCAAGAAATACAACTGGACTTTACCTTCCGTGGTGACTGTTGCCAAGGAAGAAGGTTTCGCTTCATTATATAGAGGTTTCACTCCCAAGGTTTTGAGATTGGGTCCCGGGTAAACTAATGAGAAGAAAAAAAAAAGTTTAATGGTTTGGGCGTGCACTAATGCTCCTTTTTTTTTTTTTTTTTTTTTGTTAGTGGTGGTATTCTTTTGGTTGTCTTTGAGACTGTTTCCAGTTTCATTAGAAAGAACATCTTGAAGGAAGAGTAAAGAGAAGATGAATTTTATTTTTTTTTATTTAAAAGAGAAAAAAAAAATAGAGAGAAATGAAAAAAATATGTACACACAACGTAAAAAGGAAACTACAATTATTTATATAAAACCAATAAATTATTATGTGATACGTTTTTGAAACGAACTTTTGAAGAATCCTTTAAATCGACCGATAAATCTTGATTTTATCAATCGTTTCTCATCATGATGATCCATGAGCGGAGCGACTTGTGATTTCTTTTTAAAGATCCTCTTAAAGAAGCGTGATGTGCGCATCAATTTCTTTTCCGACGTCAGGGTAGAACACACCGTTGTATGTAAACTCGTTGCCTTGGCCGTCGATTCATGTAAGGTTGTCATGGAAAGGGAGGAACCCTCGGAAAAGACACCTACTTTCTTTCGGTTCGAGAAATTCGTCAAGCGACTACTCAAGGTCAGTTGTGATGATGTGAATAAAGAACAACGTGTCATGGTAGGTGGCATCAGCCATGGATGCAATAAACAATCTTTAGCTGTGATACGCTCACTTGCATCTCGACATAATAACCGCTGTATCAGGTCACTGGCATCCCGTGTCACATACGATGGAATCGTGTATTGGCCTCGGCTGATCTTTTGAAATAGCTGTGGCATCTCGTCACCTTGAAAGGGTAAAGAACCCGTCAACATCGCATAGAGTATCACACCACAGCTCCAGAGATCAACCGGAGGACCGCGGTACGGAGTAGCTGTCACCATCTCAGGGGCTGCATAAAATGGACTGCCACAGTAGGTACTTAGTACCTCATGTTGTTCTCTTACTACATTACCAAATCCGAAATCACATAGCTTGATACTCTGCGTCTTGTCAATCAAGACTTTTTTTTTTAAAAAAAAAAAGTAGGGTTAGTCATGCGTTTATGTGTTAGATGGAGAGATAAAGTACCGTTTTCAGGCTTCAAATCTCGATGAACAATATTGTGCTATGAGTGGGAAAAAAAAAAGGTGAGTTTATAGTATAAGAAAAGAAAAGAAAAAATGGGTTTGTTACATCATGAATGTATTCGACGGCTTCAATTAATTCACGAAACCACCTTCGTGCAGTTGGTTCAGCCAAACCTTTAGACTGTTTTATCTTATCAAACAACTCACCGCCCTCCACGTATTCCATAACGACATAGATGGAATCATTTTCAGTGAGAACTTCATGGACTTGAGCGATATGTTTGTGATTTAATCCACTAGCAAATGTTTCGCATATCATTTGTTCCCGTTGCGCATGTTGCTTTTGGTCACCAGATTTGAATAGTTTTTTATCGACTACCTTGACGGCGTACTATAATTTATTTGCCTGTTTTTTAATAGATGTATGCATGGTAAATATTTTTTTTTTTTTGTTTGGGTACCTGCTGCCCTGATTTTCTATCTTCGGCTAAATAGACTTTACCAAAATTTCCTTTACCCAATGTGTACAATTTCTCATAACGTGCTTCAAATGTATTTCGCTGTTTCACCTTTTTTTATTTAAAAAATAAAATGTTTGTTAAATGAGCAAACACGCTTTTATGTATGATAGTACCTCGTTCAATCGACTCATTTTTTTTTGTATTTAAAAAAAAGGGGGGGAGACAAAGAGAGAAGGGGGAGATTTATATAAGAAAATAACTCGGAAAATAGATTCCCTTTGGACTGCATCAAAACAATTCAAAGAATTTTCTTTTTTTTTTTTTTTTTTTTTTGGAGAGGCAGTAATTTTAAACGGGTTGAGGGGCCATCTATTTTTTTTTTTTTTTTTTTTTTTTTTTTGCTTTAAAAAACGATATGCATACCTCCAATGACAGCAATGCTGGGTTTTTCCCTCTTAGATCAACACGATATCCTCCTGGCATACCCATTCATTCGTACGTTCTTTCTCTTCTTTCTTCTTCAATAAGCTTGGACTCACCCTTTTGCCCATTAGTATACGCTCGAAAAGATTGTACTCTAATCTCGCTGATCAACAAGACTTTTTGAAACATTTAAAAGCACAATGGGTACAAAAACTCGAGGATCTCAAGGTAAAAAAAAAAAAAAACTAGCTACTCTGAAATGCACTATTGTTTAACAGGCTTTTTTTTTTTTTTTTTTTTGGTTGCAGGAAGACGAGAAATATTTAAAGAGAATGAAGAGGATAAAAGTAAATGAAACGCTGGGTGTTGCACCGCTATTTACAAGAAAGGAAGATCAACATATACAGACAGATGAAGTACAGATACCCGAACTACCAACACCTACAGAGGAGCTTCTAGCCGTGGAGCCTTTAGTTACGGACACTGCAGTGGAACCTGAAGTTGCAGACGATGCAGTGAAGTCCCCCGTTTATGCTACAGCGTACCCCACCCTACAACAACGGAGTGACACCACACAACAGAATAACACTACACGACAGAATAACACCACTTTATCCGATGCACAAGATACACTGACCAACGATGGTGATGATACAGATGATTGTCATCACAGCACTCAATCAGTCGAGAAGGAACCAGGACCGATCCATACATTTTCAGAACTAGAATCTATATTTAAACGTCGATTCGCAGACGAATTAGAGGAAGAAGAAAGGGGACACGATGAAGAGGAAGAAGATGATGAAGAAGCTAGAGCTGCATTAAATTTAATGTTACAAGAATTTGGTGATGATTTGTAATAAAAAAAAAAAAGAGAGATTCTTTTTAATTAGTTGAAAAAAAAAGGAAGGAGGAAGAGGGTTTTATGCTGTAGTTTGAAGAGGATAAATAGGACGAATATCAACGGGAATACCAGCATGATCAATACGCTGCAATGCATCCTTTGTATCTTGATGAAGTACACCATACTTTTTAACAAACGCATCCACAGCTTGCTTATCTCCATCACCTTGAAGGATTAAAATATCTCGAGTCAAATCAGACACGGCCTCACGAATCTTTTCAAAATCCACACGATACAATTTCGTCTCTCCATCACATGCGAACCCGCCCTTCTCTACCAAATAATTCAATTGGATGGCTTGACCTAATCCATGGGCTTCTTGAATACCAAATCGAATGGATCGGAAAGCAGATGCTAAAAAGGTCACCCAGAATTCCTTTTGACTCACATTATCAATGGTACCACGATCCACCATTAAATCAGCAGCAAATAAAGCGGCAATATCTGCCTTGGCTTCTTCCAAAGCAGAGTGATATTCTTGAAGTTTGGATCTTACCGTATGACCATCCAAGGTATGATGAGGTCCGTTACTATGGCAAACTTCGTGTAATAACACATGGGTGGTAAAAGCATCCTTGGTCAAATGGACCAATTGGTCTTTAGCAAGCACTTGAGAGGCAATGGGTGTCAAGACCTTGTCAAATTTACCTTCTTGCACATTCTTGATCAATACGAGTTTAGAGCCACCCTTTTGAATAGCGCGTTCATCGTTGGGAAGATTATAGGCTGCTGTCATGGGAACAGCGACATCACCAGCGGCAAACAACTGATTGACAACGACAATGGGAGCCGCTACCAAATCCTTGTTACGGTATTTCTCGGGAATGGGTAAAGCATCTTCTACGTATTGAAGATCCGAGAATTTCTCGAGCAAACCAGAAGAATGGTCATCACGGACATGGATGTAGAATTCAAAGGCACTTTTCAAGGTGAATAAGGCATCGGTGTATTGTTCATAGGGACCCACTGTGACTTCCAGTTTGTTGCCTTTACCCAGACGAAGCCAATTTAATTCAGAGGGAAGATAATCGTTGGATTCAAAGGCATCTGCACGCGAGGACAAAAATTGATGGATAGGCACACCTTCACCCTTGACTTGAACATGTTGTAATTCCTGAGCGGCTTCACGCAAGCATTGAGCAGCGGGTTTTAATAAATCAGCATAAGCTTCAGAATAAGGTACGGATTCAAATTCGTCTTCGGCATTCTTTTGAACCACAGTGTAGTAACTTTTGGCTTGCTCAGCCTCTGTCTCTGATAAAGTATCAACCCATGCTTCGAATTCGGATTTCTTCATATCTTGAGGGTAAAAATTTCCTCCTTCAGGACGTTCAGGTACGCCCTCAATAAAAGGTACATTATCGTCCTCACGAGCCTATTTTCCCCCCACCGCCCAAACATTTTTTGTCAGTACTTTTTCTTTGTCTTTCTTATGTGATCGAAGAAGGGCTTACCCAAGGACCTTTATACATTTCAAACAAGGTACATAATTCTTGATTACCCTCGGCATGCAACTTGGTACGAAGGGCTTCATTACCAGACCAGGCTTGTCTCATATACAATTGGTCCAAATACGTGCCTGCTTTCACTAAATGTTTAAGAGCAGCATGTTCGTGGGTGCTCAAGTGAGATAAGTCTGTGGTGCATTCATACAATGCAAAGCGAGAAAGACGGCTTGAAAGAGAACGTACAGCAGCCATTTTTTTTTTTTTTTATCTAGTATACGCGAAAAAAGAAAAAGGTTGCCCAGTACTTTATTTACGTGGGAAAAGGGATGAGGGTGATTCTCTCCGCTTGAAAACAAGAGAGAGTTGCCAAAAAGGGGAAAAAATACCCAATTTTGAATCTTTTGTGTAGCCAAAGCAAACACATATACACAGGATGAAGGTGCTTTAAGGGGGGAAAGTAGTAACCTGAATTAAAAGCAGTCGAATCTTGTCAATAAAAAAAAAAGGTAGATGTTCAAAAAAAAAAAAAAAGGGTAGAGATTTGAGGAGAGGGTCTGGAACAGGAAAAATAGAGAAAGGAAGCTTCCATCTGGTCTGTGCGAGTAAACACACTGACGTAGTTGGAGTAATAAACATCATAAGATGTCTCTATTTATGAGAAGGATCTCTTTTTTTATACATTAATACAACGTGATTATATCTTTTTTCTTTGGAGAAAGAAAACCAAGTATTTTTTTTTTCCCGCGCATGGTGTAGTTAAAGTAATTCAACATGGCTCTGGACTAAAATAGATGACTAAAAAATCAGTCATTTAAGCTTCTAGAAAACTGTTTGTTTTGGTGACTATTTCAACCTTACGTCACAGTAAGAGCAAGTCTACTGCAAGTAATAAAAAGAGATCGCTTGGTTGTTATGAAAGAGGTGTCAAAATAATTGTCAGGCAGGTTTGTATCAGGGAACCCTTTTGTTTTTTTTAATTAAAATGCTATTCGAACCATATAACCCATTGTTTAAAAAAACATCTTTTTTTAAAATTCATGCAGTCATCGTCCCAAAAAAAACCCGTATTTTTCTTTTAGCCCTACTGGGAAAAAAAAAGAGTTAACCAATAACAAGCCAAGGGTATATATATATATAAAAGGCCAGGAAAAGGGTGGGAAGGGATCTATTCATCTTCTTCTCCTAACTACTCAACCATGTCTCAAGTATTCAGTGATAATATACTCTATTACAATCCTATCTCTGTGTTCTCTAATGTAGCTGTCCTGTTGCTATGTGAAAAGGGTATCCAGGATCAGTTTGAATTCAAGCCTCTTCAGATGGGTATTGACAACAATGCACCTTGGTACATCAAATTGAACCCAAAGGGACAAGTACCTACCTTGATTCATTTAGGAAAACCTATTCCTGATTCTCTTGCCATCGCACGTCATTTGGATACATGCTTCGGACCCACACCGGTGTTCTCGGCGGATGATCCAAACGTATTAAAGGTGGTGGAGCAATGGAGACAGGTGCGCGTATTATCTTTGGTGGCTGGCAAAAAAAGCAGCACACAGGATACGACTGGAATTGAAGCCAATTTAAACCAATCCCGTCAACAGTTATTAAAGTCTATGGAGGAAGAACCCACCTTAAAAGAAAAGTATCTCGTTCGTCTGGATGTGCATGACGACCGAGCGGATCTGCTGTTGAATCATTCGACTTATTTGAAGCACAAGGCTGGATTGGAAAGCTTGTTGTGTGACACAGAGCGTACTTTGAAGGAAAACGACGGATGCTTGGTGCGCAATCATTCACATACACTGGCCGATGTGTATGTCACCGCCATTCTTTATTGGTTAATGGGTAAATTGGACAAAGACATCTTAAAGGACAAGCCCGCTTTAAAGGATTATTATTTAAAACAAACAGCCAGACCTAGTTTTGCTAAGGCGTTCTTTAATTAAAATAAATAAAAAAATGGGGTTTTTTTTTTTTAAAATAATCGATGGTCTGTTAAGCCAAGCAGGTTTTGGTCTTCGGGATGGTAGTGAGCTATACGGGCATTGATTAAAGTCTCAATGTACGGTGACCAGTAGGTACCTGGTCTTAATGCGATGTAAGGGTTTTCTGGATGTGTAAAGGCTCTGTTTAAAAGATGCTAATGATGGACGATTACTTAAAAAGCTCTGTGTATATCTACATAATCAATAAAAAACGAACCTCAATGACTTTCTTTAAATCGCATTCGTCTGAGGTTAAAAAATCACTGTCGACTGGATGAGGAGGATAGTATTCATCTAGAAAATCAGATATATCCTGTAAACTTTCGACATATTTTTTCTGTAATAGGGCGAATTCCGCTGCTAATCGATCTGTGGATTTTTGGTTGTCCTCTAATTCATCTGTGTAATGACTTTCCACCTGCAGTAGTAGTTTATTGGAAGCAATGCATTCTTCCAAGACGGTTTGTTCACTGTATATATATATATAAAAAGAGAGTTTTACTATTGTATGAGCTTTCAATAACAACAAAATATGTGTCTAAAGTTTACGTTTGAGAAGCTTGCATGATATTTTTTAATTCTTGGTTCAAATAGACGAGTGTTTGTTCCAGGTGATTGACTTCAGACTGTAATTTATCTCTGTATTCTATTTCCAATAAATCGTCGTTGGGACGATCGTCCAGGTTGAGTTTCTCTAGTTCAGCATCGAGTTTTTCTACAATATGTTGATCGAGGGTCATGATGGTTTCGAGTTCTTTTCTGTCTTTAGGCACAGGAGGACCAAACACAACATGGTCCATGCTTTCGAAACGTTCATGTTCAAGCTATTTTTTTTTTTTTTTTTTTGCAGACACAATTAGTCATTAAGGGAACTTGGGTGTGAGACGGGTTGGATATAAAACCTGGTAAAGTTTGTCCCATAATGCTGCTTTCTCGACGGCTTGTTGAGCTAGTATGCGATCCAGCACTTCACCTCGACTGGTACCGTCTTCTGTGCTTTCAACAATCGGGTCTTTGGTAGCAATATCTTTGTATTCGTCTGTTGCTTTTGAAATAAGTGCTTTTAAATTCAACCCAAACGACATTATATATGTATATAAAAGAGAGAAAGAGAGAGAGAGGGGGGGGGGGGAAGGAAAGGTACGCAAAAAAAAAAAAAAAAGCGCGTCACTTGACCTTTCTCTTTACTCTTTTTATATATATATATATCATGGATGCTTCAAGTTCACAAAAAGAAACCAAGGTCAAGATTCGAAGACCAAGACAACCTAAAGCCGATGGAGCTAGAAAAGACAAGACGTTGAAAATTAAATTAACCGCCAAGGGAGCGCATCATGTGGAATCCAACCATCACATGAACGGACACACGAATAATGGGTCTGAGGAGGAAGACGATCCAGAAGCTGCCATGGAAGAGCAAATGATTTTTCGAGTGCCAGAAGGTGAATTATGTGATCGATTACATGAAATGGTGAAAAAGAGAGAGATTCCCGAAGACGTCAAGCTTCAATTTAAAGGTTTTTTTTTATTATTAAAAAATGTATACAATGAAGGTCAAGTATTAAATAAATAGGGTGGAACCGGTCATAGATAATCGAAAAGGTCAATTCAATTTCGAAGGACGTAAATACGATGTACAACTCGTTGACCTGCCCACGATTATTGAATCACAAAAGACGTTGGATAAAAAGCAGTTTTACAAAGTGGCGGATATTTCTCAAATGTTGTTGGTGGATCCTACATCAGGCAGTGAACCGTTTATACCTCAGATAAATGGAAGGCTCGAGACAGATCCTTATAATTTTCCTCATGGCCTCACGCCTCCTCTCAAACACGTCAGACAGCGAAGATTCAGAAAGAAGTTATCGAAACGAGTAAATAGAAAAGAATATCCATTGGGGATAGAAAACACATTTTTTTTTTCATTTTATAAACCCCCTCTTCTATAATTAGGCTATTGAAGAAGTCGAGAGAGAGGTAGAACGGTTACTCGAAGTGGATGCTACAGCTGAAGATGTACAATATGGTAAACTATCTTTCTTATGATAATTATAGCCTAGTCTCTAATGAATTCATCTTTTTTTTTTAAAAAACAAAACAGAGGTAGTGGATAACCGAGAAATGGAAGGAGAAAATGAGTCGGATATCGGGACTCAAGATATTGATATTGATGATAGCGATGATGAGAGTGAAAGTGATGAAGATTTGGCTGCTGCTATTGATCGTGATCTTGAAGAAATGGAAGAAGAGGATAATGAGGATGAAGATGATGATGATAATGATGATGAAGATGAGGACGAGGATGAGTCTGAAGAAGACGATGATGAAGAGGATGGAGCTCAAACTGGTGAAATAGGTAAATAATATGGACACATCTATCTTCAGATGATGGGGTATTAACATATCACTAGAACAAAAACGACAAGAGATTGCAGAGCTTAAACAGGCGATTCAAAGAAAAACACGGGATTTGTCTACCGCACCCAACGCCATGCTCAAGGTAACAACCTCTATTTTAACACGTGCCTTTCTACCTTAAAAAAAGCTAATACTCTTTGTTGTTGTTTAGAAACGTTTTGAGACGGATATTGATAATTTGAAGAAGTCGCTTACGTTAAAAGAAGCTCATCTTGTTGAAATGAACGAAAAAGAAAAGCAATAGGTTCTTTTCAGTTCTCTTTACCCAAGTAAATATTTCTTTCTTTTTTTTTTGTTGTTGTTGTCTGCGCGTTGTTCTTATCGACTATAATAAATAAAATCTGAATAAAGCTTTCACGTCCATCTTTTTTTTTTCTCTGCGCGTTGTTCTTAATGACTCCAATAATAAAATCCTTTGTTTATTTACGACGTGTGTATCCAAAAAAAAAAAAAAAAAAAAAATGTATTTGTATCAAAAAAGATGAAATCACATTATTGGCTGTAAGGGGAGGGCCAATGAGATGAAAACTACAGATGCTAAGCAAAAAAAAATGCCGTCACTCTATCCAGTAGTATTTCACAAGTCACGAAAAAGATCATTTGATCATCGCCGGTCACGGCGAGAAAAAAAAATTTTTGAAAAAGAAAAGGTATAAAAAGGGGGCCAAAGTTTGCAAAAAATGTGGTTCTCTATTCTTGTGCTCGGGCAAAACCACGAAAGTGAGGTTCATACTGATTCTGGTTTATTGCTGGTTGAAAACTACAACCAATACCCGTCTACAGTGCTTTTCGGAGCGCGGTAGCAATTTTTTGCAGGCTCGCAAGAGCCTTTTATTTAAAATAATGAAAATGAAAAAAAAAAAAAAAAAAATATCTTTAAATCGTTTTATTTTGCATGTCTATTCGTTTACAACTTCTTAAAGATTCATCACCTTCATTTAATCTCTCCATCATGATTACGTTCGCTTATCCATCACGTGTCTCTATTAAACTTTCTTTAACTTGTCTTTAAGACGACGCGTTTCTTAAAGGACTTTTATGTTAAAGACGTTGTTCAATCTACAATTCTTACAATTTAATAATCTTTGAAAAAGAGAAGCCAACATCTTTCCCATGTAAAAAACCTTGCAGACGTTCTTCATCTTGATTTTAGGACGACGCAGTTTTTTTCAGACGAAAACGTTGTTCAAGCTACATTTTTTTCTACATCATTTAATAATCAACATAAAAAAGGAACCACCATCTTTTATTATTTAACAAAAAAAAAAAAAAAAAAAAAAAAAAAAAAAAAAAAAAAAGAGAGACAAGCTTGTTACAAGACACGTTTACTGTAAGAGGGGGGATAACTTTTGATTTATTTTTTTACTGCTTGTGCTGAATCAAGTCCGGTAACAAGCGCACTTTTTCTACGCCCTTCTCCACAAAAGCGGTTTCCTTGATTCTTCGTAAATACTTCCTATCGAGATTAAAGGCCTTATAGGTAGAAACCGACACGGACTCACCCAGACCGTTTTCTTTATTGAGGGAAGCACAGGCATCTGCTTTAATTCTTCTCAAAACATCGTACGCAACGATATAGCAGTACTTATTGTATTTATCTGAGGAGATGGTCAAGGTGTAGGCGTAACTGGCTTTTAGGACCTGTAACATTTTACCGCTATTGGCCTCGACGTCGAATTTAAGGATGGATGATTTGAACACCAGTGGGTCCGGTGTGTCCATGTAATCCTTTGCAAAGTACTCCTCTAGCTCAAGGTAATTATTGAACCGACTCTGTAATTCATCAATAAATTTATTGGCTTGATATCGACTTGGATTACGGATATTGTCCATGTAGTGGGCTCTTTGGCTTTGAAATTCGCCGCATTGTGTGGTATAAGCTTCTCTGTTTTGTCGAATGGTTTTAGCAATCAAGTCCAAGTCGTCCACCAGATCTTGACCTCCCAAGGTTTTAGCATTTTGTGTTGCTTTACTCCAAGGCGCGGTAAGATCAACATCCTTGTAAGGCACGTCCTCATCACAGAAAAGACTACGAGAATATCTCGTGAATGCTGCTGTCTCCTTGAGTAGCGTGTCGTACATGTGATCCATGGTTGTCACACATGGTGCATCATGCATGGTATATACGTTATTAACTTCTTTATAACTTCGCATATTCGTCTCACGCTGTTTGTTCTTTTTATCCATGAACCATGCTGGATAGGCTATCTTGGAGAAATTCGTACGATCTCGACTGCTGGTGGTGGCGGTTAATCGTAGCCCTTGTTTAGGTGCATCCACTAATTTAGCACACATATGCGCCAGATAGATCACATCAGGGTCGTCCAACGATCGAAGCTCTGCAAGCACTGTTCTCCAATTCTCGTAAACACCCAACGTGCCATCCGGTAAAGTGACCGAGATAAAACTGTTTTGTATCGCATATTCTGCATTCGAATGGGCTCCAATTTCTTGTCCCAGTGTAGATTTGTCCTTTTGAAAGGCGTTTTGTACTCGCTCCGATTCTTTGGGCACGGCAGATGATTTAAAAGGTTTCACAATACGTTCGTCCCAGCAACAGAAAACCTAATATAACACAATTAGAACCTCTCCCGTTTTTTTTTTTTTTTTTTTTTTTAGCAAGGAAAACTCATCCTTCGACTTACAATATCACCATCATAATCACCACCACTCAATTGACTTGCTAATGAGACATCGCCTTTCACAGAAAAGATAATGATATCTGTATACATACGCAAAGCCGTACAATCCACTGCTTTCACCTTTTGAACATCACTTTTCAGACCACATGGATTACGAGTGACAATGACATCACCCAAGATTTGACCGGCACGAATACCTGTCTTTTCATCTTTTTTACGGCTGGATAGTTGTAAGAAGACTTCACCTGGTTCGAGTGTATTGGTTGGATCAGGCACACAAGTGATTGTACATGATTGCGGCACTTCGATCCTGTACTTGATGGTAATGGCTTGCATGACTTGACGAAAGACCATGGTCACACGTGTTGCTACATAAGCATTGGATAGATCAAAACCAGCATCCAACAAACGCACGATAGATTCATGCAGACCAGCGGGGAAACCCGAGAATTTGTTGATCTTGTTATAATTATTCCTTTTGACCTCAGCGTCAGCTTGTAAGGCGGGGAAACTGGTGGAAACTTTTTCATCGAGTACGTTGGAGCTGGTGAAGCTCTCGTCATCATGGTTTCCGTTCTGAGGAGAGAAGGGAGCCATACTAAAGATACCACTGTCATTTTCATCCTCACCCGAAGCTATATCGTGCCATAATCCCTTTTCGGTATTTTCCTCACTTTCCCATCGACTGTTCATGATATTACCTGTCTTTGAAACCCAGTCTCTCAGGATCTTGACGTTTTGATTCTCTGTCACGATGTCTGCTAATCGATGAATGTATTCCTTTAGGATCTCGACGAAGACCTCGGTGGGGACACCGCCTGCTGATAATGACTGAATAAATTGAGTGTTCAAATTGGATGGGTATACGCAGATGGAGTTTTTGACGAGATCAAAGGTATAATGAAGTGGATCTAATCCTAAATCTTCTTGGGGTAAACCCGTCTTGAACTTGTCCTGACTCTTGCGGATTTCAATATAGTTTCCACTTGTAAAATCTAGGTCGGGTGAGATGATCCAGATGCCTTTGGCACCGGCAATACGACCCTGAATTGCACAGGGGAGTTCGTCCGTGGCTTGACAGCCCATAATCATTTTCATGGCGGATGGAGAAATGATGCCGCAACCGTCCGTCATACATAGTGTTTCATCGCTCGTCACACCATTGGCATAAATGTCATCCACATAGCGGATCTCGTCGGGTTTGAAAACAAGGGTTGGAATACTGCTACTGTAACCTAAGGACATTCGACTGGCGTACTTGCTCATGGTCATGGCCCAGTTTTCAGTGATGGGCATATGCCAATCAATCACTTGTTGAATCGACATGGGCTCAAGACCGATACCTTCTGTTGCAAATAAGATCACGGTATCGTCCTTTACAAACAAGAATCGAAAGGTGCGATGCATGAGTAGGAAGGACTTTAAGAAATAATCCTTGTGCTTTCGAATGAGGAATGGACTACTTGATTTTGCCAATTTTAACTCTAAGAATCGATCATGACCAAATTTACGAAAAAGACGATTCGATGCTTCAACTTTGGGCGCTCTTAGCGTAATGGTGGGTGGACTGCTCACTACTTTAAATTGGATCATGCCACTAAAATGAATCATTCTGTTCTTTAACTTTGATTCCTTTTTGGCTGCTGCTGTGGAAACTGTAGTCGTGATTGATGGTGAAGGTGAGACAGGTGACATGGTCATAACCTGTTTGGGTGTGATGGGTGTGGTTGGATTAGGAGTTGAAGCAGTAAGGGCGGCTTGTTCGGCTTCCTTTTTCATCCTGGCGATATAGGCATATACGTTTTCAGGGCATCGTTCCATGCAAGTATAAGCCAATCCATTTAACTTCAAACCAAGTCTGACTTCCTGATTCCACTTCATCATGACATCGTATAGTTTTTTTGGTTCAGTGTTAGCCGTATTTAAAAACATCTGAAATGCATCAAAGGGGATTTGGTCCCACGAGACTTTACATGATTGTAAAAATCGGGCGATTTCATACAATGTGATGTATGGTACGTTTGCAAACAATTTTATACCTGAGGAAGGACTGCAGATGACGTTGTATTGTGAGGAAGAATCTTCTCGAAAACATTCCAGCGGATTGATGAGGGCGGGTGGAGGTGCGGGTGGATTGGGAGTTATTTTCAATTTCTTGGGTTTTGTAGCAGGCGCGGCTACTATTTCCAACGCTCTCTTCTTGGAGGCTGGTTCAGCAATGTCAAAACATGCCTCGTTAAAGTCCTCTCCAAAATCGGAATCATCTAGATCATCTCCAATGGCTAAAAAAAACACGTTAAAAAAACAGTGAGTTGTCAAAAAAAAAAAAAGTGAAAGGTTGTCCTACGTACCGAGCGATTCTATTTCTTTATCCAACAAGGTGATGAAGTCTTGCAGATTTTTTTTGCGATTGTTGGGAGGATTCCAGCTGAAAAAAGTTCGAATGAACTTGTTCAAGGTCGTCTTGTCAGTCAGAGCCAAAAGGCTCTCCATCTTTGTCACCTCTTGAGGCCGGCTACTGGTGTTACTTTCAAGCAATTGGTACCTTTCTTTTAATTGTAGGTTTGTATACAGTTGCTTTGTGCACCGCAGCACATTCTGGTCCGGTTGGTTAGTCATTGTCACTGTTATAAAATCAACGGTCAAAAACGATAATGACAAGCTACCGACAATATATTAAAAAAAAGAGAGTTAAAAAAAAACAAAAAAAAACAAAAAAGTGGTCAAATATGGAATTTGAATTTCGTGTTTTATGGCGTCACTCACTGCTTTTACAAGTGACACTCTTTTTAAGGATTTTCCATGTTTTTCACTTTCCATGGCAGCTTTAATTCTGTTATGTATTTGTTTTTTGTTATTTAAAAAAAAATAGACTCTAAAGATTCTAAGAATTAAATTATTTTTTTTTGGGGGTGGAAGCTCTTGTATATCATACGTCGTCATTTCTGCATCCCCTCCCCCTTTCTTTTTTTCTGACAATGTAAAATGATAAACGAGCAGCTTTCCTTGAAGGCAGGTTAGGAACGAGACTGAAATTGGCGTTTTTTTATTGGCTGGGGTAGCTTTTACGTAGAACGGGTTTAAAATATAGCAGATTCTCAGCAAAAAAATGCATAAAAAGGGGTTGATATCCCACAACGCGTCAAGTTATGCCAGACCCTTCAATTTCCATACATGTCAAACGTCTTGTTGTGATACCATGGGAGGGACGACTGTAGACACAAAGGCTAAACTGAAAAGTTGGGGGGAGAACGTGATTACAAGAACGATATGGGGTACTTTGTACCACTAAACCACATCCAAAAATGTTTCTATTTATTTTAAATGTCCTACTTGGGAATTATAGAGTCTCTTTCCAATCGTCACCTATGGATACAGGGTAGTTGCTTACTTGGCTAGACAAAAAAAAAAAATGGTAACCATAGCAGAACTGTGCTAAATAAATTGACAAGAATGTTTGTTTGTATGGAATAATGACAGCATCTTTTGGGATGCCAGTTTACATTCTTGGCATCACGATGGTATCAACATGACGTCAAAAACATTGACAAATAGCAGAATTTTGAATGAACAAGCTAGATGTTGCACACATTAAAAAAATTGATTATTATACACCTAACAAAGCCGGGTTTTGAATTTGCTCAGCTCATTACAACAGAACAATGAAAGTAAACCCGTTGTCTAGTAAGTGAGGAAAAACGATTTTTTTTTTTTTTTTTTTTGATTTTTGACTTGTTACAACAAGAATTACTTGTTTGGGGTTGTCATTGTAAATAAGCAAACTATTTTAGAAATAAGATCACATATGACATTGATATGTATGTAACAGTGAAAACATAACAAGTGAGCAGTAAGAGCAATTTCCTTATGATGTTCAATAAAACAAACAAAATAGAGACTGTAATATGTGGGCCTTTTTTATTTTATTTTATTTATTTTGAAGAGCGCTGATATAAAGCAAAAAAAAAAAAAATGCAATCTTAATTTAGTAAAATGACAACAAATAGGATAAACCCCATTATGGTAATTAAGCAATAACAAAAGATTAAAAAAAAGGGTGTATAAATAAAAGGCGTAAAATTTGGGGTTCTTTATTCTTTTTTTAGTTCAACTTTTATTACAACATCAACAACAAAAAATGGGATTCTGTATTTATTGCAATAAAAATGTTTATGGTAGCAGCACTTGTCCAAAGTGTTACAGGACGATTCCTGTCTCCAATAACACGACTTCAAAAAATGATGGTCCTTCAAGAGTTACAGCCATGTTTCCTGATCAAAAAAGATTAAATCAAACCAACACAGATAAATGGCAAGACACGTAAGTTTATATATATATAACATCCTTATCTTTTTCTTATATCTAATAACTTGCATAGTTACAGCAAAAAAGCCATCTTTAACAGCGGCATCAACTCTGCGGCACCTACCAGACCAAAGCAACAACGCAACATGCCTCAATTCAATGCAGCCTCTAGTCAGCAAAACAAATATGATTTAAAGAAATGCATAACGTGTCAAGGTGGCAATTGGGCAGACTACCGCAACAATAGCTCGGTGATTGTATGTGAATCATGCAAAAAGTCTGGGTTACAGAGTCCTACACCCGAGAGTTCCAGTACCTCAACACCCGTACTTTCATCCATGGCTACCTCAAAATCAAGTTTGACCTCTTCAGCAAACAAGAGTAATGCTTACTTTCAATTCCAAAGAACTCGAAGAGCATCCATGTTTAATCGCTCTAACCTCCTTGAGGAAGAAAACCAGGGTTCTATCCGGATCAATGGTCCCTCTCCTACTAGCACTGTCTCTACCTCGGCTCTTGCGCGTTCTCCCATGAGCTCGCCTCCTACATCTCCTATTCTCGATAGAATTACAAATGAACTAAGCGCCAAGCATAACTTTAGCTATCGACGTGAGCGTGAAGTGCCTTCTCCTACTGCTTCTGTCATGACTCCCAGCGTATCTACCTCTGTTAAGCCTATTGAACCCAAAAAGACAGAAAGTACTCCTCGTAAAAGAAAGGTTCTCAAGAAGCCATGTAAGGAATGTGGCCAACATGTCTCCAAGAAAGATTACCGTGGTCTCAAGATCCATACTGGTGAAGTTCTTTGTTACCACAGTCATTGTCTTTTCTGTGCCAAATGCAATCAAAATTTCAACGGCTTGGATTTCTGTACCGACGGTAAAAACTTTTATCACACCGAGGTAAACTAGACGAAAAAAAAAATGCATTCAATTACATAGATATATACTGACACACATGCTTCATTTTTTTTTTTTTTAGTGTCCGGATGCTACCACTATTTTAAAGAATCAATATGGTATGGCTCTCCCTCGACGTGACTCACCATTAAGTGAGGAAGAAGATGCGTATCCTAGAACTCCACCCTCGCATAACACCCACTTTGATGTTTTATCCTCTAGCCAGGAATCATTGCCTTATTTAGAGGACAACTTGCTTAAAAAGAAAAATGTTATTGTTCCTGATTTTACCAATTCTGCAGCTGTTACATGTCACACCTGTACAAAACCTGTGACCGATAGTACATGCTTGGAGCTTGCCAATCAATTTTATCACAAGGAGGTAAAATTATTCTTTTATACATGCATATATGATGGCAACAGTTATTGACTTTTCTGTTTATTTCTTTTTAGTGTCTTTTATGTGCTGGTTGTAACAAGACTGTGCCAACAGACCGTAAATTATCTAAATTCGAGGATAAACTCTACTGTGATCATTGTACGCCCAGCAGCAAAACAAAGAGTGTGAACGGATTACGGATCAATATTGGAGACCGCCAAATTCCCAAGCGTGCGCCTACAACGACAACACCTTCCGATTTACTAAAGTCGCGAAAGAACGTCTTGCCAAGACTGGGTGGGGTTCGTACGTGCGCTCGTTGTAATCAAAGCATGCCATTTTCAGACACCCAACCTGGACCGGGAGCAAGTCGATGGCATAAGAAGTGTTTGCGCTGCACGGGGTGTAAAAAACAAATGGATTCCGATGCACATATGACAACCAATGAAGAAACCGGGTTATGCTTAGTGCATTGTCGTGAATGTTTGGATGAGACACCAAAGCCCAGATTTGTTCGTTAAGATTATTCCCCCATAACATATTTATCATAATCATTCTGTTATTTTTTTATCCCTTTTTACATAGTATATATAGTTCACACCATACATAGTCCTTTTTTTCTTTAAATATAAATTTCTTTTTTAAAATTACATGTCTTTTACAAGTGGTAATCCAACACGTTGACCTCCTAATAAAACTTTGGCTTAATTTAGGATTCGTAGTTTATCCGAATGTAAGTATTAATTTATAATAATGTATTAACAAAGACGAGCACCCATTTCCCAGAACATGACCTCTAAACGTGTAGCTTGCTCAAAGGTTTTGCACACTTCCACAAAACGTGTTTTTGAAGTAGAAATACCTCTCTCCGCCAACAACTCAAACTCGGCTATATATAAAAAAAAAAACGTCAGATTTTGGGATGTGAAATATAGTAAGAAGACATTTACCGAGACCAGTGAGAACGGCGGTTTGATAGTCTTCCGCGGCATATTGACAGATCCAGCTCCAATAAGGGTTTCCCTCTAATATAACAGAAAGATCTTAGTAACGAGTGCAAACTTTTTTTTTTTTTCGTGGTCTTCTAACCTCTCTTTGTGGCAGGATCGTTAAATAACTTGATACCAATCTCACCATAGCCAAGTAAACAAGGCAGCATGGCAGCTTTCAAATCAAGCATGTCGCCCGATGCACCCTTATCCAAAACAAAACGAGTGTACGCAGAATTGAAAACACTTTCAGGTGTGTTCAATACATCTTCCTTTGTTACACCCCATTTAGCACAATAGTCTAAATGAAGCTGTGATTCCTTGGTAATATGGAGAACAATAGCCGCGTTTGCTTCAATGGACTCCATTGTTCCAGCTAACAATAGTAAAAGGTAAGTATAAAAATCGGGTGGGGGGATGGGAAAAGATGAAAAAAAAACTTACATTTGTATGCAGCAAGAGCAGCTGCACGTGCATAATGTTGCAAGTACAAATAATCCTGCTTAAGGTAATAAACAAATGATTCGACAGGAAGTGTACCATCAGCAATGCCGCGTACAAAAGAGTGATCGAGAAACTCTGACCAAAGTCCTTCAGGAAGGCTTTCTTTAGCAGCAATGATGAATGGCTTGCTATTAAAATAAGAATTGGTTAGATATCAATTAAGACACAATGGTTAAATCACAGCTTACCCTTCATAGGGTGACCATTTCAATGGATGGAAATGATTGATGGGGCCGTTGCCACTACCGATAGAGCCTATAGTTTGGGAAATTGCAATCTTGACATAACGAATCGCACTTTCACACGCGGCTTCAACTAATTGAAGGGATAGATTAGGCTCGGGTAATTTTAATTTAATAAAGATTGTCTCGGGAAAAACCAGCATTTTTTTTACCTGAAAGGCCTTTGGCGAGTTCACCGGCCAATGCAGCAGAGAGCGTGCATCCTGTTCCGTGGGTATTCTTTGTGTTGATGTAATCATTCTTGATTTCGTGATAGGTGTTCTTTTCACTGTCATAGATCACATCTATGACGTGGTCTTTTCCATTAATCTGAATTGGCAGATGTCCACCCTTCAAAAGAATGACTTTAGGGCCGAAATGAGCCAATCTTTGAGCTGCATCACACATATCCTTGACAGATTTGATGGAACCAGGAACTAAATCTAATAGAATCTCAGCTTCGGGAACATTAGGGGTCAAAATATAAGTGATGGGTAAAAGTTCGGTCACTAAAGCATTGATAGCATCGGCGGCCAAGAGACGCGAGCCTGAAGTGGATATCATGACGGGATCGACCACGACATGGCGAGAATGCACGGGGAATTCTTTCAAACATTGGGCAACCACCTTGATAATGGAGGTTGAGGAAAGCATGCCGATCTTGATGGCGTCTGAGCCAATGTCGCTCAAGACCGAAGTAATTTGCTTTCCAACAAACTCGGCCGGGATGTCATGAATATCGTCAACGCACTTTGTGTTTTGAGAAGTGACAGAGGTAATGACAGAGGTGGCATAGACGTGAAGTGAATGGAGTGTTTTGATATCTGCTTGAATACCAGCTCCTCTATAACAAAACCTTTATATTAATATTTGGTCATGATGATCTAATCATTATGGTTACCCTCCGCTATCACTACCGGCAATGGTCATGACTATGGGAACAGATTTATTATCGGGCATAATGTTATTTTTTAATCAAAAAAAAAAGAGAGGTAAAATTTATATGACTACAGAAAAAAGTGGGTGCTTTTTTATATATATTTATTTGCCGCCCATCATTGCCTTGAATTCTTCAAAGCTGATTTGACCATCACCATTGATATCTGCTTCCTTAATCATAGCATCTAATTCTTGCTCGGATAAGGACTCGTTTAAAGAGGACATGACTTTATGTAACTCATTACGGTCGATGACACCATTACCATCGGCATCAAACACCCTATCAGAATGATGAGTGAGTATTTATATGCACATGAATACTTTTTTTCATTTATATACTTTACTTGAATGCCTCTTGTAAATCATCCGTATCATTTTCAGTCTTTAATGTCTTGACAAGACTCAAAAATTCATCGAAATCGATATGACCATTACCATCTGCATCAACATCATTTACCTTGTGATAATTTTTTAAGTATACGTGGCCTTTCACATATCATCATTATCCCCCAAAATTACATACCATATCTTGTAGTTCAGCATCGCTTGGGTTCATACCAAAAGAACGAAGCACAACACCCAGCTCGGTTGCACTAATACTGCCATCTCCATTTCTATCAAAAAGTTGGAATGCTTCACGGTATTCTGTGATTTGTTCTTGTGTAAGTTGATCGCTCTTTTTTTTTTTAGTCATTAGCCCATGTTCATTAGTACAGGAATCACGATGGATAGAGATTATATACGGGATTAGACTTACCATTTGGGGTTTATTTTTAAAAAAGAAATATATATAAATAGATAAAGAAAAGAAGAAAAAAGGTCTTTTTTAGTTTTCCTCGAGAAATATAAGATTACTGCAAATAAAATAAAAGCCATTACTCTTTTAGGAAGAACAATAAAATTTTTATTTAAATAAAAAGCATGACAATATATTCGGTCATCGTTGTATATTTTATTTTTATTGCCCCTTAAACAAGCCAAAATGTTGTTTCTATTGAATTACTTATTGTCATGTAGGTAAATCACCATCATCTTTTAGAGTTATTTTTAAGTACAGCAAATAATCACCTTGTATGACTCCATTTGGTGACACAAAACAATTTACGTCGTACAGCACACTCTTCCCCCCTCCCCCCAATAATAAAAAAATGACAAAACATGTAAACATACGAAAAGTGAACTGCATAAAATATGGTAATATGTGTTTACATTTCTTTAAAGAATGTCATGAAAAAATAAAATTACTATAAAAAAAAGAGGTGAATCTAAACTTCTTTTTACATCCACAAAAAAAAAATGAAGTTCTTCACTACCGTTGCTATTCTTTCTGTTGCTATTCCTTTCACCCTTGCCGATCTATTGCCTGGTCTTGATCGTATAGCTCCAGATAGCTCGTATGTAAAGGAACGTATTGCACCTCCTGCCAACGCTACCTTGTATGATGTTTACTTTGCCAGAGGAAGCAGAATTTATCAGTGTAACCCTGAAAAGAAAGGATTCCAACATTGGTATAATGTCCAAACACAGGCACTTTTATATTCTACAAAAGGAGAACAAGCACCCTTTGATCGTGAAGGCAATGAAATTGGTCAAATTAATGCTGCCCCATTGAACCCAGAACAGCAAATGTAATTATCTTTTTGCCCACATGTCTTTTCTTTTTTTTTTATACATATACCTCCCTACTAATAATTACTTTAGGTCTAACCCAATGGATACTATGCCTGTCATTTATAACTACCGTGATGGTTCCTGGGCAGGCACTGCCAGACCCTTGGCTACAACTACAAGAGAAGAAGGACGTGCTGAAAGAGGAGATAGTGTTCATTTAGACGATCATATCGTACCTGTTACAAAATCATCAACTGATGGTTATTTGTCACACGCAAAATATATTGTTCGCCTAAACTCTATTGACGGTGTTGTACCTGCTGCGGATACATGTACCACCAAGGGCTTGCTTGTTAACAAGCCATTCACTGCCTACTTTATGTTCTACACCGATGCCGATGGTCTGGAGCAACTTTCCACTGAAGAAGCCGAGTGGAATGAAATGGTGGCTGAATATACTCCTGAAAAATTAGCATTGAAAAATGCAAAGAAGGAAGTTGTCTACGAATAAACTAGCTCCCTTTCCGTCCATTATTTTATTTTAATACTGATAATAATAATAATAAAAAAAAAGAATTGTTATATACTATTTTTTTAAGCATCTGTGTTGGATATGATTTCATTGGGAAAATCCAACTTTACAATGTAATCATTTTTCAAGTACTTGGGTGCTTTAAAATCACCTTCACGTGCTGCTCGTATCAAGTAACTGTATTGATCCATAGAGCAACAACAATAAAACGATGATAGTTCACGAGCCAATGCATCCAGGCAATCAATTTCATTCTCCCAATCAATCTGTTACTTTATGGTTTAATTAAACAAATTCTTCAAACCAAAAAAAAAAAAAATCAAAAAAATACCTGAGTTGCAATATTATGAAACAGGATAGGCAATTTATCAAATGAAGGAATGTAATTTGTCAAAAGCATTGGTAAATAGGTCAAATAAACCTCCCGGTCGTCTTCAGAACTTGCTAATCCGATACTATAGTAAGAGCTAAGCAAATCTTGATGTTCAACAAGGGAGTCACATGCTTCAATCAACTCTTCGGACGTTTTATCTGGCGCGAAAAGTGATATACCTGAACTTATTGGAATGGGTGTAGACAGTAATAATTTTCCAAATTTGCCAATTTTGTTTATAAACAGCTGGTAAAACAACTCCTCACTGTGAAGAAGAAAAGGCACACCCCGTACCTGTATGTTAATCTTTATAAAACATATGTAAAAGTCTCTATTTTACCTAATAACGTTGTAATTCATCAAGTAGTAAGTATTTTTAAAGACAATTAATACTAGAATATCATCAATGAGCCCGACACATTGATGATTGGCAATCACTTTGCTGAATTCTTTGGTTTTCAGGAGGGGAAGCTACAAGTTTATTCTGATGTTCCTATATGTAAGTTGTACACGTTTACCTTTATTTTCGGCATTTCTGATCTCGGATTTAATTATCAGTATACTTTCCAATTTTTGCGGGTCCTCCTTAGTAACCAAACTTGTTTTACTACTACGATTCGAAACGAGGCTAGCATTGTCATTAGATTTTTTAAGATACACTCCAATTCTTTTAGGCTGTGATCTAATATATAAATTCGATTGAATCATTGGAGTTTTCTCTTTAGGTTCCGATACTCTGCTAATCCTATTGATACTAGGGTCATCATCATTTTCAGTAAAGACCTTATCAATTTTTTGGAAGAAACCATCTAAAGGTCCCCTCTAAAAATATACATACATACGTGGTTATTACTATACTACTTATGACAATTATTAATAATTATAAATACCTTGTCATTTGGGGGTGTTCTGGGACTATTATCCGTGGATCTACTCTCACTACTGGGAGAGGATGGAATACTTGCTGGTACAGTCTTGAAGTAGTGATTGAGCGTTGCTTTCTATATATTTTTCTGTGAGGTTAGTCATTAGCTTGGGGTATTTATATCTTTTGTTATAATACTGCCTCAGGAAGTGGTGTAGGCGGTGATTTTTTTGGCTTAATCGTGGTAGGTTCAGATAACCCTTCGTCTAGAGCTAATTGGAGTGATGCAGTAATGCTATCTGTAATCTGTTCTTCATTCAACAAATGGACCTGTCATATAACAAAGCGATAAATACAAGAGTCATACATGCACACTATGTATGTAATCTTAACCTCGTTTTTTGTTGGGTGAATGTTTACATCGACATTGACGGGTTTTACGTTTAAGGAAAGATATATAAAGCGAGGCTTATAGCCTATTCTGATATTGTTATATACTTGCTTGATTTCTCTTTTCAATTTGCCATTTTCTACTAGTCGATCTGTATGGAAAGTTCGAGTTAATTAACATGCAAAAAAAACAAGATCGGATGCATAAATACTGTTAACAAATAGAATAAAAGGGCCATTTTTGTTGTCGATTTTATAATGCGTTTCGTCTTTCATATCATGAAAATACAACTCAAAATTGCAATTGCCGTCAGAATACTTTGTACACCTTAACCGAGAGGAGATACTTGTACCAAATATTTGTTGAATCCTGTTCATGTGATTATTTGCTTTTGTCTCAGAAATGATGTATTTGTTGTCCTGTACAATGTACATTCATCAGATTTCGAAACTGGAAGAATGAAATAATAATTCATGGTACCTTTTGCAAAGAGAATCCAACACTGGGATTATGTATAGCATATTTTTTTACGATATCGGCTATATGATTTTCTTCTACTTTGGCTGTTCCAAGTGCTTTTTTTCTGATGGGAGTATTATCAAATAACTTGTGGATCTACAAGAACATTTATTGGCCGTGAACCATGTCATAAAAAAAAACTGAATATGTTATTACCGATATCATTGTTCCATAATTACTTGCGCATATTTTTGGTTTTGATAAAATGTTGCCATTTTGATAAATGGCCCTATTTATCACGATTAAGAATAAATTTAATGCGTGCATGGTAATGTAAAATACATACTGATAGCCATAGGATTCTTCGTGTGGTTTTGACACAATAATGACTTTTGCAATTTGGGAGATGCTAGCCAAAGCCTCACCTCTAAATCCAAAGGTTTCAATCTTGTCGAGATCTTTAAACTCCTCCAATTTGCTTGTGGCGTAACGCTCGCACACTAAAGGCATATCGTCCACCTAAATGGACATTTAGAGTGACTTTATAGCTTGTTTTTATTATTTTTTACACGCACGACGTCTACCTTAATGCCATGTCCATTGTCTATAATTTTAATCAGGTCGAAACCTCCGTTAGACACATGTATTCGGATACGTGTGGCGCCAGCATCCAAGCTATTCTCGAGCAATTCTTTCACAGCGTTATAAGGATGATGTATAATCTAACGATATAAGCAAAAAAAAAAAAAAAAAACGAACAATTTACAGGTAGAATCTTTATACCTCTCCTGCAGCTATCCTATTGACAACTGAGGGACTTAATTTCGCTATCCTTTTCATAGGTTATTTAAAAGGGAGTAAAAGAGTGACGATCTTTTCAGCCCTCTCTGCCCGTAATGCTTTTTTTTTTTCTTTTTTTTTTTTTTTTTTTTTTGCCGCGTCGGTCGGGGTTTAATTTAAAAAAAGGAATGCACGCGTTTAAAAAAAAATTGTCTAATCCCTTTTTAAAAATCTTCCATTAGCACAATGAGTGATCGTCCTAAAAGAAAAAGAAGACAAGCAACACCTAAAACCAAAGTCAGGTATACTAAAATAGTCTCCATTGATAGTAAACATTTCATTTATCTAAATCATTTAATAAGTAATGCTCATTATGTGGGTTACGTTGAGGATGGTGAGTCTGTGGCCGCAATCATGAAGAAATTCGAAGAATTGGAACGCATACAACAAGAATTTTCATCGCTCCATGTTCAACCTGTTGCTGAAGTAACTTCTACTTCTTCGGAAGAAGAGAATAAAGAAAATATTCAGGGCGAAGACCAGGACGAGGCGATGACAGACGTATCGTCAACGCCTGACCACATTAAACCACAGTTTACCCAAGAACAGCTTGAGGAGGTCTTTAAACGTACATCTGCTTTTACAGTAAGAAGTGCTACGATCGATACAAGCACAATTCAAGACATGGATGCACTGGATCTTTGGCAGGTCGAATATAGGGATGGTAGTACTTCTGAGGTCTACGAAGAAGAGTAAGTAAATTCCATCATAAGAAATAATGAGATCTGTATAACTGACTCTATGCCTCTCCTTCCCATCTAGTGAATATAATTATGTGGATGAAAGCTTTTGGGACGACGAATTTGGAGAGAGGGCGACGCCGGTTAAAAAGAGTAGAAGTGCTCGTACCCCGAGAGAACCTAGAGCAATTGGAACGAGGCGTGGTGTTGATCGTGCAAGTATTATTGCCAAATATAAAATCTTGCAAGTGCAAGTCCAAGATAGAAATGGTAAATACCTCACCATCAAAAAGCGCGTGAGTAATATGGATCCCAGTCTACCGACCTATGTGAGAATTCCTGCAAGACCCGTTTCTCGTGCTTGGGCTCATAAAATTTTGACAAAATCAGCAGCAGAGGTTCCTATCACGGTACCTGGATCAAGGTATCTGGAGGTGGAAAACCTTTTGCATACAGATTTAACACAATATGGCCAGGATTTTACTGCTGTGTATATGGATCCACCATTGCTTTTGCCTAATGAAGAACCTTGTCACGGGAAAATCACTATTGATCAATTTGTACGTTCTATTTCAGTCGTCTACAGTGTCCACTAACAACCCTGACTTCTTCCTCTTCTTCTTTTTAGACCAAATTGAATGTTTCAAAAATTGTCAAGGCAGGGTTTTTGTTTATCTGGGTAGAAAAGGAATGGTTACAGAGAATGGTTAGAATAGCGTCAAAGTGGGGATTTAAATACGTAGAAAACTTTTGCTGGATCAAGAAAAATGTCAACAACGAAATGAGCAGAACCGAATACAAGTATTTCAACAAAAGCAAAATAACTTTGTTGATATTCAGGAAAGAAGGCGAAATTGATTTACGTCATCAACGTAACCCTGATTGCGTGTTTGATTTCATTAGACCAGGATTACCAGGTAAAAAAATTATAATAGGAAATCTGTATGCAGTCAGACACTGATGTTATGTTCACTCAATAGATGAAATCACTCAGAAAAAGCCTCCGTTCGTGTATAGTGTTATTGAGACTTTACTTCCTGGGGCCAACTATAATTCTGAGACAAACCCAAACGGAGAAAAGTTGCTTGAATTGTAAGGTCTCACTTTTTGTACGCTAAGATTATGAACTAATACGTATTTTTTACACACTATAGATGGGCTAAGAAAGATTCTAGAAGATCGGGCTGGACTGCAATTGCTGAAGTATAAACTTTAGCCTGTATGTAATTATAATTAAAAGGAAATCTGTACACAGTCAATTCAAAAAGGAAAGTCGCAATCGATATAATGCAAAATGGTTCTGTTGTTTTTTTTTTATAACTTTTATGAAAGACGTTGTCTGGTTTACACATGGGCTTTATTTATTTATAATTTGCTTATCTATTGAGTATCCCTTATTCATTATAACTGGCTTATATTACTCATATCAAGACAAGGGACAGGAGATTATATGCAGTAGTTACATACTACGTTGCTAGGATCCATAGAGTTTACACCACAAAATGCTTTGTTACATTAACTCCCCTTGTGAATTTTTTTTTCTTTAAATCAAAAAGCTTTTATTGTGCGACCATGAATGACTGTATATCAGTTCTATGTGCTTAAATCATTGGCTATGTGACTCTTGTGCTGACGATAGACACAACATGTGCCACATAACATTACAGCTTTTTTTTTTTTTAGATGGGGCTTTGCTTTCGGTTATCATCGTTCTAGAGATAATGGTTGATCTCTTACCATCGTTGCTATCTCTTGAAAAAAGTTGAAATCGCTATTTTTATGGTTGGTTATGCTAATTTTAAATTTCTATAAGAGGAAAATCCAGTGACTTTTTGTGCCACCCGGGGAAAGTCAGTAATAAAAAGAGTATATGATCCTATTTATCCGCTATTAATTCGATCAGGAGGAGGCTGCATTTTGATGATACCAGTGGTGGTAGACCTGATAAAAAAAGACTATAGAAAGGCGAATTTATTATGCCGGCCATTATGAGAGGCTAATGATGATGACATGAACTAAATAGGGCTAGAAACCACTGAACCTTGTTTTTTTATTGCGGGGACTTTGTCCCGATGCACTCGACCAATGTCGTTGGAATAATGTTGCGAAAATTAAACTATTTGACGAAAAAATACTAATTTCTTTTTTTTAATTTGGATAGTGCGGAAACTAGCTGAATTGTAAATGATCAGCAAGGAACAGGATTGACAGGCAAAAAGGGACTTGAAATTATTCAAATGAAGCACAGCTTAATTTAAGGAGTGCCTAAAAAGAAAAAAATGACGACTGAAACAGCAATAAAATATTGTGTATATAAACCACCGAGATTTCTTTTTTTCTTTTGCTTTTTTTTTCCCTTTCTTTTTTTTTTTTTTGTTTTTCTTACTTCTTCGTTTTCTAAACAAACAAAAATGAGAACTTGGAGAACCTGGACTGTGGTCATTATATTTTTATTCATCGCATTAAATTTTGTTTATTGGAAGGCGTATCCATGTAATGATCCAAGATTTTGTAACATTGAAGCAGTAAGTCAACAATTGATAGTTTTTATTTCTTGCTTTCTCTTTTTACTTACACGCATACTTTTTGATGATTCTTAGGATTCCACTGTTGCCGGAAACACCGTAAATAAATTGTCTGTGGAACTTGACTTAATAAGGTACTAAACTTTCTTTCTTATAGGATGGTCATCATGACGAGACCGCTCCACATCCACCTCCACCCCCACCAATGCAACCACCAAGTACGCTTGGAAACCCATCATCTCTCCCTGAACAACATTTAGATAAACACGTCCCCGTTGATCCTCAACCTCTCGTAAATCCCAATACGCATTATCCCGGTAAAATAGCTAGAAAAGGAACGAATCTATTTCAATTTTAATTGCTTATACTTTACAAATTAGATACCCACAAAAAATCTAGTCAAGATCTTGATACTATCGCCCCTACTTCAGATAAAACTACATATCGTTTGAAGGGTAATGAAGGTGTGAAATATGCTACCACAGGCGAGTTATGGCAATTTGGTATTGTAAGTTACAAAAAAAAAGAGTTTGTACTCATTTAATATAATTGGAGTATTAATCGTATGAGCCCACTAGATCAACACAAAGCCTGATGTGCTCGTGGTATCCAATACTAACTACGCCGACGTCAACAATCATTATCAACGTGAATTCAAAATTTATACTCTTATGAAATGGATTCTCCGTGTTCATCGTCGTGATCCTGAAAGAATTGTGCCTCTCGTTATGGTTGATGCAGGTAAGATAATTGAAAGGAGATATCGGCAGTGTATATGAGAGAAAGAAAAATTAATTTTTTTTTTTTCTATCAGGATCAAACCATGGTCTCTTTTCACTTGTTGCTGGCGCTAGTGGAGCTCATACTATTGCCTTTGAGCCCCAAACTCATTTGAGAAGTAAGTGCACTAAACAAACAATTTAGTCTCCTATTCCCTAAAAAAAAGTCTAAAAATAGGTGTCATCAATATGGCCGGTAGACTTAACCAGCTTTCACAACGTCTTCGTGTGTTGCCTTTTGCTGTATTGGATAGCTTCAAGAAGCTCGCTATGGAAAAGGTTGAGATCAATGATGGTGGTATTGGTGGACTTTCATACGATAACCCAAATGCTTTAATTACCACCCAAACTATCCGACTTGATACTTTACCCGCTTATGATCGCCTTTTCCCAGAGACCAAGGCGACCGAGAAAGCACTCAAAATCTCCACCAGCCGTAAGAACGATAAAACTATTCTTGAACCTGAGGATATGGGCATTGAATATGCTGATGCTATCGAAAAGGCTGTTGGTACTGAAAATACCGAATTAAAAGAGTCCCTTTTGTTCCGTCAACCCATCCACTTCTTGAAGATTGACGTTGAAGGTTTCGAAGTCCCTGCTTTAAGATCCGCTGCAAAATTGTTCGAGAACCAGCTTGTTGAAAACACAATTCTTGAATTTGGTCCCCCAAGCCGTTGGGATGTTACTGTCGAAGGTGCCTCCAAGATGAAACAAAAGGATATTCTTGCCAAAACAATGAAGGATGCAAAGGATATTTTACATCGTGCTATCGATGAATGGAAATTGGATATCAACCTTTTACCTGCAGAGGGTTGGGATAAGACCGTTCGTTGGATGTTGGAACATGGTGTTGATGAGAGTGAAGGCAACCCTTCAAGAAACAAGGTTGTCCGTAAAGTAAACGCATGGAAATTCGATAACTTGCCTGAGGATAATGACGAGTTTGAAAAGGAACTCAAGTCTCAAAATAACCTCGTCACTGAATTTATTAGACTTCCTTCAGAATTAGTTGATGCTTATTTGGATGATTCCCAATCCATTGGAGAAATGTATCTCTGGTTCACCAAACAAAATACCAAAAGTCCTGTATTACAGAAAGTTACTTAAATATAGATAAATAAACAAGTTTTTTCAAAAAAGAAATCATTTATTGTTGTCATTTCTATATGGTTCTACAATATCAAGCAGTTTTAGATAATATTCTGCGGCACTTTTGTCGATCTTTGATAACTCGAGCTAGAAATTAAAAAAAACTGTGTTATTTTTTGTGTTACAGTGACTAAAAATAACTACTCACTTCTTGTCCAAGTTGCTGGACGTCCAAGAAAAGCTGTGAACGAATTTTATCCTCGTCCGACATCTCTCCAGCTTTTCTTTTGTTCTTCAATTTCTCGTCTGTTAAACTCAAGTTGTTTAAAAGTTCTGTAATAGCGCTAGTATATTGTGTGATGATATCCTTTGCTACGGTCTGTGCCCATTGAGACTGAGTTTCAATATCAGTCCAGTCTTTACTTTGCTCAACAAAACTAAGAAAAGGCTTGAATATGTTGGGTATAAAATAAGAAGGTTCCGTTGGGGCCGGCTTATTTGTATGTCGATAATGACTTGTGATACTTTTAATTGATTTTAACGTCTCCGCACATGATGTACTACAGTTTTCACACTTTAAATTCAGAAAATGTTAATTTTTTTTCAGACGAATCAAAATTTACTTTCAGACATTGACTTACCTTTTTTGGACAAAATAAATAAAAAAGCAGACAAATGAAATTTAGTTTTAGGATGATTTGATAAGTTACTATAAGGTTTACCTGTAAAATCTTTAAACCTTCTCCTCACTTGAGTGAGACGAGGTAACCACATTGGAGGTGGCGTTTAGTCTTTTAAAGACAGTTGGTCGGCCTTGGCCATCCCAAATGGATTGAGATATAGCAAGCATATTTTTCGCAGCCATCACATCACGATTCCAAAAAATATTGCATCGTTTACAAATCAATATTTGATGGATGTGTGAGGATTTTTCGTCAGTACCGCACCTCATGTTTTTTAAATCATTACTAAAACAAGAATTGCATGTCTATAAAACTATTACTTTAGTCGAAGGTATTGATATACATTAATATACTAACCTTTGATGTTTTAAACTCGTTAATATCAACAAGAAGTAACTCTCCAAGCTTCTCTCTTCTTTTCAATTGTCGATAAAGCTTGTCCGTTACACCGGAGCGCAAACCCTTAAACTTTGTTTGGCTTTTGTTCTTGAGTCCATCGCCAAAGATGATTAAAGGCATTTTATTACGATCCCCTTCTTCGAATTTCTCTTTATGTTCTCTTCATGCAAGTTTCATTATTAAAATACAGTCATATCATGGTTTGTTAGTACGCTTACCTTTTGATAATTTTCGGTTTAGATTTTAAAGAGTCAACTATTTTAGATCTCCTTCGCTTTTTACTCTTCTTCTTAGTTTTCCTTCTTTTCTTGTTGTACTTTGTTGATCCATTTAAAAGGATATTAACGGCGTCCTCTATACTCTTTTGTGATGCGATATAATTACACCATCTACTATTGGTAGTTCTAAACCCGTAGAAATTAAAAAGTGTATCAATATGTTGGAGAATATACGTAATGTATAGTATATAGGTATCATGAGACGTGGTTTTAGGTGAGGGGATATTGGTCTCAATTTGATCAATACCCAAGCTTTTCTTGAGTTCTTGTTCCTGTTTATGTCTTTGCGTAACACCGCCCATATTGTAGTATTCTTTTGAAGAAAGACGTCTCACATCATTGTCTCCATGGTAGGATACAAACACATCCTTCCTTCCGGGATCAACAGTACATGGCCTAAAATAAGTATTTACCTCGTCAGTGTTAAAGTCATCGAGTTCTAGGGCAATGCTTTTAGTTGACGAAGATGGTTCAGTACGACGACAGAATAGTAAGCGGCAAGTATAACCATCGGTGTACATCCCGTTCAAAAACATCTTGCCGTTGGTTGCAGGCAGCTCCTTCAGATCATTAAGGCTAATAATAATAGACAAAATGTTTATTATTATTATTATATGAAGAAGGTTCTCAATACTCTTTCTTTCGTATGTACCTTCTAATTTTTAGTTTGGCAAAGTTAAAACAATCATAAAAATACCTTTGTGTGAAGCTAAATAAAGTCTCGTCCTTTTCTTTCTTTAACTTTGAGACAGGGAATATACCAGTAACGTTTTGACTATCGATTTTGATAAAGCGCCACTGCAAACCTGGATTGGGAAACAGGCTAAATATTCTCGGCAGTACAAAATGCTTTGCTTTATCATCTTTCTTCTTTTTTTCATCAGATTGAACCGTATCTTGAGGTCTTCCTGGTTCTGAGTCATGCTTCTGTAAAGTAGAATTTTCCGCAATGATTGATTCATACTTGGATAGAATGTGTCTTAGTGCCGGTAAAATACCAAAAGGGGCAGTATTCTGAGTTGCCTTTGTAATTGTGAACGATGGCAAGCGGTTCTTGAGCTCCACAATTAAAGGGTTTATAAATGCCTGTAAACCATTTTTTGTTTCTTGGCTTAATGGTGGGAGGATATCATCATTTAGAACGGTAACAGGATCAGATGATAGTACTTGATCTAAAACATGTTCATATACAAGTTTCCTTATGACAGATTTTTTAACGTCCTGAGTTAAGTTTGTTAATAACTTGTAAGTTAGTGCTTCCTGATAGTAACTCACAGGAAATTCTTTACAAATCATATAAATGAAATAGTTGCAGATAATGTTCTGAAAATTCTCAATGTAATAGTTATTATAACACGTAGCAGTAGTTTCACATGCAGTTGCAAGCACTTGACCATAATTTTTCAGCCCGTCTTTTTCTACGTTTAAGTTTACTCCCTCTAGATTATTAAGCTCCATCCATACGTCTTCCAAGTGGTGAATTTTGGCATACTTTAACTGAAAGTCTTTAATCGACAGCTGTTTACAAACCACTCTACACAATGAATACCAGAAATTTTGCTGAAAAAATTCATTGGACAAATTATTGGGGTATTGTAAAATGTAGTCATTGACAAAGATTTGAGCTTTAAACAAAACAAGACGTAAGAAACTAGATAGATCCTGGATCTTGTTTACGGCCTTCTGTAATCGGTCATCATCATCATCTGTTTCATTTAAAAAGCCCTTTAATGGAAGAGATATAGTATATCTTTGATTTTTAGCACCAAGATCCTTTTCGATCAATTCTTGTAAGGTATAGTTATGGTTAGGGCACAATTTACTTCTCGCAGAAGAATGACCACTTGTATCACAAGACTTGCAAATCAGGGTCGATGAGCTTGAAGACGCAGTGGTCCTGTTTCTTTTAGCCACACTCTTTTCTTTTTTCGCTTCAAATGTTTCCTTTCTCTTTAGGCCTGATTTATTTTATGAGTTATTATGTTTGGCTATATACTTGAACATATACAGTGCATTTTTACCTCTGCTTCCACCAGCAGGTTGATTCATTGTGCCGGTACTCGTTTCGTCCCCCATCTTAGCAAGTTTAGCTGTTATTTTGGCATTTATAAAATCTTCTGTAACTGGGTAAATACGAGGTCTCATATTTTTTTTTTTGTGAAAGAAGCACTGTTTGATGTATTGTCAATTAAATCAAGTTACATTATAATGCTCAAAGTCAACGTCATCTAAAGTAATTGAAATTCCGTTTCTCCCCCTTTTTTACTGTTATAACGTATTAACTGAGGATTTGTGTAAAAAGAGCTCATAAAAATACACCTTTAAATACATTATGAACTATCAATGCAGAATATGAAAACTGTAAAATTCATAGGATACATCCTTTGATAGCCTTTGTCTGGAATTTTTTTTATTCTATTTGTATATATATATATTACGTTAGTCTGAATCATTTTTTTACTTCTGTCTGAAATATATTTTTGTTCATCTGAAATCATTTTTAGGTTTATCTGAAAATTAGTTTTCCTTGTCTGAATTCAAAGTGCTAATACTGTAATACTTGAATTAATTGCTGGTAAGGTTGAATTATTTAAGTGGTCCAAAACTCCGTCCACACTCTCTGTATCATATAAATCTCAGTACTAGTATAATTCCCACTATTCCTATTTTTACCTTTCAATGATGGTAGGTCTTGAACATTAGTAGGCAATTTAGGTAACATCACTTCGACTGTTTGTAATTTGAGTTTTTTTACAAATGTGTTGATATCGTGTCTCAGAATCGCAAGAATCTTTAGATTTTCCAGCTTCTGTAGTCGGTTAGTATTGAAAGTATTACCTTTGTTTTATCGACATGCATACCTTTCCAGTACTTATAGAATTACTGACAACCTCTGACACCCATACGTTGTATCTTATGATCAATTGAAGGGTAAGTTTCCAGAAGCGATGGGACAACCCATACAAGAAAATTTGGTCGGACCAGCACTGACTTATAGCAGTCAATATCACTCTGCTACCTGGCAGGATTATATCTGAAAAGAAAAAAAGCGGCGAAAAGGTTAATGGATATCACATCAATTGATAAAACTTACAAATTCCATACCCTTTTTCAGGTCGGCATTGTTTAACGACAAACTTTCATTTGGCTCGTTTAAGGTACTTTCAACGTTCTTGATAATTTCACGGAACCTTAGTTGAAAGTAGACTAGAAGCTGCCACTTCTTCATAAATTCAGTGTATGTAGGATGGTTGCGAAGATATAATAACGACCGTTTGGAGTAGCATAAACCTTCCAAATCGGATATAAATGACACGGTTGCCGTATAATTCTATTACTACTTCATTAGAATAGTTCCTTTTTTTTTTTTTTTTCTGTGAATATTGTACTATACCTTGTGAAAGACATCTGTTTGACCCGCTGCAAATATACTTTTACATTCTTTATTTATTCTCTCAGTGGTTTCCAACCAGAGTGAATTGACCAAAATTTCATAACTGGATCCTTTGAGTGTTTTTTGAGTGATATCAAGAATTGGCTGTAGATCTGTTGAGGCAAATGTAATTATTTTTGAGTACATGATGGACAAAGGATGTTTGCTTTCATCTGTTCCTGTGGGGGAGCCATAATTTCGAGCGCCCTCTACTGCTTTTTGGGTAATGATTTTTGCCAGGCAAGGTTTAACAAACTCTTCGCGAACAATCTTCTCGGCCATTTGCGTTTGATCAATCAGGGCATACGTTCTTAGACATTGGGTCAATGACTGCTTTGTAGCTCTTGTCACTTCACCAAGTCTAATCTGAGAAAGTGCTGTCGATAAAGCCGTTGATAATCTTTGCTCCATTGTGTCCTTGATACGGGTGATTCTCCATTCGTTTTCTGTAACGAAAGCCATATCTTTTCCTCTACGTACTAGATGTTGCATTTGGTTATATTCTATAGCCACTCTTTCGATCTGTTTTCCCAAACTACAAGAGAATATCAATACTAGGACTGAGACATAAGATATCTGTTTACCTGTCGTCAGTGGTAACGGCTTCGTCGTTTAGTGTAATATTAGCGATGCTGGTAGATTTAGCGATATCCGCGTTGATATTCAATAAATCTTCTACTTTGGAGACAGAGTCATGAATGTTTAGAAGTAGCTTTAAGGTAGCCTATTGTGTACAAATGTTGGTATTTTTGTATTGAATGTAGACTTCAAACCTACTTTCTTATCTCTCAGTTCAGCCCGGGATTCCAGCTGAGCCTCCAATGAACCAATGACTT